TATGTTCAACCAACAAACTATCATAAGTCAGAAGAATAAAGGTTTCCTCTGTAGTCGGTTATTTTTTATTTTTAACTGATTGGTGGCACAAACACAAGTCTAGAGAATGAAGGTTTTTCAACTATTTTGTTTTAATATTTGCAGAATGAAGTCGCTCCTTTTAGATTTTATTTAGCACACGGAAAAAAGTGAACTTTGTGAGTTGTTGAATTAATTAAATGCACCGATACTGAACTTATCATGTTTGTGTCGTCTGATCATGTTCTCGTTGTTGATTAACACCTGGTCCACTTAGATTAGTTATTGCCGTATTAATTATACTGTTTAATTAGTTCCAACATAATTCAGTTTCATGGAAAAAGTTGACATCGCAGTTTGAAGTAAATCGTTTTGGTTTTTTTCAGTGCAGCTTTTGGCTTTTTTTTTTTAAAGTTTTTATTGATGTAATACCACTGAAGGAATGAACTGGTGCAACTACAAAACTCCATTATTGTCATTATTCTGGACTGCAGTTGTGTATTTAAATATTGAAAACAACACATTTAAGTTGAAGTTACTCACAATATTAAGTTGATGCAACAACCAGCATCATTGTGTTCACTCATATCAACTGATTTATTTGTTATAGCAGCAAAATGGGGCAACATTAAGAGATATCAGCAAAAAATCAGATGGTTCAAATTCCTCCGGAAGTAGAAATAAACTCATCTAAACTAGACTAAAGTTGGACATTTCATAGGACCTGACTGAACTTCTTGCTTTGCTTGTTTACAACTCTTCTGGATCTGCTGCTTTTCTGCGGTAAACGTGTGATGATTTGCTCCATGGTGATGGATGAAGCGGCTCTGTGCTGGCTGGAGGTGGAGCTCACCCTCTCCTCTCTCCTCTCCTCCCTCTCTCTCTCTCTCCCCTCTCTCTCTCCCTCCCTCTCTCTCTCTTCAGTCTGTCTGCGGCTTCAGCGCAGTTCAGTTCCGCAGCAGCCGGAGCGGAAAACTCGCAGCAGAAACCCGCTAAAGTGAACCTGCGATGCTCCTGGATGCTCCTCCGCCTTCAGAGCTCCTCTTCTCCTCCTCCTCCTCCTCCTCTTCCTCGCTCCGTCCCGCTCTCCGCTCTCCGATGTGAGTTCGTCCGTGCGTAATAGTCCGGCTCCGAGCGCGCCAAGCCCCGTCATGGCTTATCCTCAGGGTTTCCTCTTCCAGCCGTCCGTGTCTCTGGCTCTGCACTCCTGCCCGTCCTTCAGCTCCGGGGTCATCCTGGGGCCGCGGACGGAGGAGCTCGGACGCTCCTCGTCGGGCTCCGCCTTCGCTCCGTACTCGGGATCGGCGAGTTCTCCCGGATTCAACTCGCACCTCCCGTACGGCGGAGAGCCCCGGGCCGCCGCCACGCTCAACTCCTTCGTGGTGAGTGTCCGAACCGGGTTCTGGTTCTGGTTTAACTCAGGTGTCACCCTCGGTGCGTAAAAGCAAAGGAAAAAAGGGAAGAAACCTGCGAGATTCCAAGTTCTTGCTGCGCGTAAAACGGGTTTGGAGAGCTTTTATTTCTCTCTCAACTCGAGTGAATGTATTTAAAGTCAAATCTAAATTTAGAAAGTTTGCATTTTATGACTTCAATCATTTTTTATCACATTTTTTTCCTGTAATAATTTAAGTTTTGTTTGACAAAGCTGGAGATTTAAAAACTAAAAAAACATTTCAAATTAAAATGATTGTTTTATTTTGCTTTCAATCATCTGAAGGCAACTTCCGTGTTTATTTTCTTCTTCTGGTCTTTTTTTTAGCCATTTATCTTCCTGTAATATTTGTGAATAATTTAACATTATTTAAGGAAGCTGTGCATTCAAAGTTAAATGAAAATGACATTTCAAATTAAAATGTTTGTTTTATTTCTCCTCAAATCATCTGACAGCAGCTTCCATGTTTATTTTCTTCTTCTGTTCTTTTATATTCTGCTATTTGTGCAGTAACTCTTTTAATTGATCCCAAAATGTGAAGCCCTAAACTTAAATCTTTAATTATAATTCAGCAGATTTAAAATCCTCCACATCTGTGAAGTCGTTCTAATCGACGCTGACGAGCTTCTGTGTGTGAATCAGATGCTTTAATTTGAAATGTTGTGATTTAAAGGACCTGACTTTGGCCTGGTTTTTGTGCAAATTAAATTTTGTTTGTGCGTTTGCTGTGATTTAACCGTTATTTAACCGCGTTAGTCTCATGAAGATTAGCTTTTGCAGACGAGAGCTGCCAAGAAAGGAAGCAGCTTCGGCACAGAGAGGCGCTAAATCTGCAGCAGTCGACGGCAGAGAGACGCTTTAAACACACAAACGAGAGAGAAATGCAATCAGGAGCCAGGAAGTGCAGATTTCAACCTGTTTAATTGTCCTTTCAGAGTCCAGGATACGACCCGTCCTCTGGCATCTCCGGATCCTTGGACTACCACCCGTTCGGGGCCCTGGGGCCTTACCCCTACGGAGACCCCACCTACAGGAAGAACGCCACCCGGGACGCCACGGCAACGCTCAAGGCCTGGCTAAGCGAGCACCGCAAGAACCCGTACCCCACCAAAGGGGAGAAGATCATGCTGGCCATCATCACCAAGATGACCCTGACGCAGGTGTCCACGTGGTTCGCCAACGCCAGGCGGCGGCTCAAGAAGGAGAACAAGATGACCTGGACGCCCCGGAACCGGAGCGAGGACGAGGAGGAGGAGGACAACATCGACCTGGAGCGGAACGAGGAGGACGAGGAGCCGATGAAGCCCGGCGGAGACGAGACGACGGAGCCCAAGAGCGAAGCCGGTGAGTGATCGATGGTTTTGTTTCAGTCAGAAAGTGGTTCCACGTGTTCTGCAGGAGGAACGTTCAAAACCTGCAGGACGGAGTCGAGTGAATTCCTTTACATGAAGCCGCAGACGAAGCCGCTGAGCGTTTGTGCTGCAGCAGCTCAGATGTTTTTCTCTCCATCTGTTGAGGATTCAGTGTTTCGTCTCATCACATTTGTTCCGTCCGTAGTTTGGAACATGTTGGCAAAAAATGCTTGAAAGAATAAAAACATAAAAGACACGTAGACGCACCAAAAGAAACCATCAGAGCTGCAGCAGCTCATCGATGAGACTCGTTTTAAAGTAAAAATCTAACATTTAAAAAGGTGTTTCTCATGTTTGTTGATTTTCTGCAACAGGAAACTCAAACTCTGGGTTTTAATCTGCTGGTCGGAGAAAACCAGAAATGTGAAAACGCCACTTTGGACTCTGAGGAGACATTTTATTTATAAACGGATACATTTAAATCAAAATCTGATCAACAGATTCATTGTAGTGAAAGCAATAATTAGCAGCAACGCTAATCAGAATCTAAACCTCAGTAGAACACCTCTGAGCTGCAGGTGTGATGGAGAGAAAAAACGATCCGATGCTGCTCAAACGTGACAATAATTTATTTGTCATGTACGACTGTTTGCTGTGATGGTGGAAGAAAGTAGAAGTACTACATAATACAAATACCACAGTGCTGTAAAAGCAGCACGTAGAGAAAGTAAATCTATTTGTGATGCAGGAAAAAAAAGCTGCACGGTTTAATATCGTGTAACTGGAATATTGTCCTGTGCTGCTAGTAATGTCTGAATAAATGATTCAGCTTGTTGCAGACGTTCAAAGCAATTAATCAATTATCAGAGCAAACGTCGGCTGATTTTCTGTTGCCGTTAACGTATTGAGACCCGAAAGAATCAACATCCTGGATGCTGTCGCACGAAAGTGTCAGAAACATGGATGTTAATGCACAGAGGGAACAATGAGCTGGATATTAATAGAGAAACGTTATAACAACCTGCATGTAACGCATTAAAAACCTGAATATTTCACTGTAGTAAAAACATTAAAAACTGGACTAAAAAGGCACAAACGAGTCAAAAGAGTGAATCATGTTTACACACGAAACGATGAAAAACCTGAATATAAACTCACAAAAATAACAATAATGTGGATTTTACACGTATTTTGTGTTTCTGAATGTTTCTAGAATGTTTTATATTTACTGTGCAGCGAGTTTTAACACTAAATCAATAATCTATTAATCAATATTCTGATCAACTGTCAGTTTTTATATTTTTTTCTTTAAAATCATTAATTCGTGATCCAACATTGATGATTGTTGCAGCTTTTGTTTGTTTTATTAAGACGCTCAAAACAAAAACAGGTGATTGATTAATGGGGATAATCAATAATCATGTTTTCCTGTTTGACCTTCGCCTCCTGTGGGTCGGTTCGGTTCTGACCTGTTCTGTTGTGTTCCGTTCTCTACCACTGTGTTCTGATCTGACTTTGGTCATTAGAATCTGTTCTGACATGTTCAGTTCTGATCCAAACCGGCCGGTTTGGTTCTGATCAGTTCTGACCCAGTGGGTTCTGCTCTACGCTGTTCTTTTCTGTTCAGATCTGTTCTGGTCTTAGCTTGTCGAATTCGTTCTGTTCTTTCCGAGTCATTAAGTCCTTCTCTGTTCTGACCCGTTTCGTTCTAGTGTTCTGTGCTGTTCTGTTTTGCCCTGACCCAGTCGGTCCAGTTCTGTTCTTTTTGACCCATTCTGTTCTTTCCTGACCCGGCCTGTCGTGTTCCGTTCTGTGCTTTACTGTTCTGACCCATTCCATTCTGTTCTTTCTGACCCGTTCTGTTCATTTCACCTCACCCAGTTGGTTTGGTTCTGTTTTGTTCTCCCTGTTTGGTTCAGATCTGTTCTGTCTGACCCGGCCTGTAGCATCTGTTCTGACCTGCTTGTTCTGTTCTTTCTAGCCCCACCTGACCCGTTCTGTTCTTTCCTGACCCGGCTTGTAGTGTTCTGTTCTTTTCCGACCCACTCCATTCTGTTCTGTTCTTTCTAACCCCACCTGACCCGTTCTGTTCTGTCCTGCAGCCGGCCTGTAGTGTTCTATTCTGTTCTGACCCACTCCGTTCTGTTCTGTCCTGCAGCCGGCCNTGACCTCCAGTCATGTCATAAATCAGTCAGAATCAACTTGGATTCAGTCTTTTAAATCAGGGCTTTTGTTTCCTACTGTCGTGTAGTACGGTGGCCGACGGGGCAAACGATGTGCATCTATACAAACGAGCTGCATGTACATGAATACGTTGCATAAACAGAAACGCGCTGCAAAAAGAAAACGTTGCATATCCACTCACACAATGAAAGGCCTCTAGGGGCAGTAGTGAGCTCTTCACCTGACAACGGTGAGCGAGACAAGTAGCATTAGTCGAGGGAAAAGCCAACCCAGTCCCACAGAAATTCACAAAATTGTCACGAAACTTAATCTATTGTTTCGTGTCCTGGGACAAGATTTGCTCGACTTTTTCGTGTTCCCCAGCTCGTCAAGGCTGGTTACATAAGCTACTAGCATAGCCTAGCTGCTGCTTCTTATATTGATTTGGCGGTTAGCATCCAATGTTCAGGTGCATTACCGCCACCTACTGTACACACAAAACATTACAGACTCCGTAGGACGGATATTGTCCACGTCTACGGCGATGCTGTGCACCGACGCTAACAGGGTTGCCTTAGCAACGAGTGCTAATTTCCCTCAAAGGCTGCCGGTGTAATAAAAACACAAAAAATACTACAATACGATGTACTCTTTTACACTTTACACTCGCTGCGATCACAGTACATCTTCCGGTCGCCGTTTTCCTGCATGTGTTCTTCTTTTCAGACCACACCAACGTTGGTCAGTTTGGGCGCACACGTCTGTATAGTGACCTCTATAGTTATTAGTGTGGACGGACCATAGCAGGAAAACTGGTTAATGTCTGACTGTCAGAAGAAAAGAACGACAAAAACATCACAGTATATGCGCTGTCTGATAGGGAAAAAACATGTCTCAGACGCGAAAGATAATTCCAATTGACATGTATTAGTTTGGAACTCCTGCTGGGGAACACGAAAAAGTCGGGCGAACCTTGTCCCAGGACGTAAAAGAATAGATTAAGTTTCGTGACTATTTCACGAATTTCCGTGAGACTGGGTTGGCTTTTCCCTCAACTAACGTTACTTGTCTCGCTCACTGTCAAGTTATTTGGGTTCTGACATCAGTACTGCCTAAACTTGAAAAAGACTTGGAGGTAGTCACAGATGACGATTGGGGCAACTCAGCTCGTCTTTGCTTTGCTTTAATTTTTGCACAAGTATGATGCAACATACGTGGTAGCTCAAAGCAGTGGTAGTGGTAGTAGCAGGTTGATAACCTTTAAACACAACATAACACCAGTTATTAGTTTAAACATTTCAAAGAAAATAAACAACTTCAATGCAACAACATTTCTTTAACCACATAGCATCACTACTATCAAATTAAAACCAGGAGTTAAATCAAAATTGAATCTTAAATTGCAAAACAATCATACCAATAGCGTCTCTGTAGGTCGTCCACACTGATGTCACCCTGCAGCATGGAAACCTTCGTTCCAACTGATCCACCAGATCACACACAGCCGCCACCAATTGATCTGATTATCAGTCACCTGACTGTTCAGCTCAGCGCTGCCCTCACCTGTCACACTACAAGACTTGCTTTTTGGTATGAAATTATATTAATACAAGAATAAATAAATAAATAAATACTAATTTTACTTTTAACTCAACACTCACTGTTGTCTGCCTCTCAGGTGAAAAGCTCACTACTGCCCCTAGAGGCCTGGGGCACTTTTCTGTCACGTTTTCTTTCTTCAGCGCGTTTCTGTTTATGTAACGCAATCCGTCGTTTGGCCCCTGTTGGCCACCGTAGTGTAGCGCTGGATAAAAGCTCAGTGTGCTCAACTTGTATGATAAATGAATCAAAACGTGATTAATAAGTCTGCATTTATTGAGAAAATTATCGACACAGCTCTCACTGAGACTTGATCTATTTTTGTGATTCTACTGTATTTTAAGACGTTTGTGAGTAAACAGTGAATGAAACGTCTTTACATGTCTGTCAGCTTCCTTTAATGCGACAACAAAGAACAGCATCAAATCATCACATCTGACGGACTGCGAGCAGAAAACATTTGCCACAATTACGGATTAATTTTCTGTTGATTCTGCATCGTCTCCTGTCATTTCTTCCCTCCGATGACTGACGGTGTTTACTCGACGGCGGCGTAAACAAACGGTGAATCCTAACGTACAGCGGTTTGAAGTCGGTGTGTAACATCTGAAGCCATTATCCACTCTGTGAAGTGTCTCACTTCCAACGCTTAATGGAGGAATCCCAGGGGTGGTAATTATGTTCGAGCACAGATAACAAGGGCTGCGTTTCATACTTGAATAATAACTATTAAAAAGAGTGTTTTCCAATTAATTAAACACACTGTCTTTAAGTAACCTCTGGACATTTGCCCCGCGGGCTAAGCTAATTTACGAGCTGCTGGGGGGAAACAAACGAGCGACGCTTTCATGTGAAAATCCTCACAAAAGAGTCGGTACCGCGGAGAATACAGAGGCAGCCTCGCCGCGGATTTCCCTGAATATTCAACTTTGTACATGCAAATTGTTAACATAACTTTTTGATATGATAAAACCGCGGCGCAGTGTCATCTGGTGGGCAGGCCTACTGGGGGTCTCCAACTTGCCGATGATGATGAAAGAGCCATCCGAGATTTTTTCTTTCTTTCTTTTTTTTTCCGAGCCATTGCTTCCTCCTGCAGTTTAATATCGGCCTCCTGAGCATCGGTCGAGGAGGAGGCGAGCCGCGCTTTAATGAAAGATGCTTAAAAAAGCGTGAAAATGCCAAAGCTAATCTGCTCGACCCGTCTGCGGCGGAGGAGCGGCTTCAAATCGAAATCGCTTCACTTCACCCCGTCGGTGCAGCCGGGCTCGGAGAGGCTGCGTCTGCACATCGCTCAGGCTTCATTAGGCCAAATCAATATTCGTTTAGCATCGCGGGTTACGGAGCTCTGCAGTAAGAGTCGCCTTAATGAGGAGTTTTTACAGAAGAACTGCCAGCTGCAGCTTTTTTTTTTTTTACAGTTAAAACAGCATCTTTGTGCAGGTCAGGTTTCCTCTGAAAGGCTGTGTGAAGTTTAACCTGCACTTTATTTATCACTTAAGCAGAATCTAACAAGCGCTCTGCTGCTGAAATAACCCACAAAAAGTTTGCTGAAATAAACAAATGACAAAAAAATTCTTCACATACTTGCTGCACATTTCTGAGTTTGTGACTCTTCAGGTAATTAGCAGCAGTTTGTTGTGCAAAGATGAATTTTTGGTGCTTCTGAAAGAGTTTTTATTCACCAGCACAGTGATAAAAACTAAAAATAAGGATTTTCAGAATCAGATTTGCTAATTGTGGCTTCATTTATTCAACATAACAAACATTTCTGTTCATCAAATGATCAGAAATAACAAAAAAAGAGCAGTATATTCTGTATATTCTGCAGGAAAAACCCAGACAGTGAATATCAAACGATGCTTTTTCAGTTTTCTGAGACTTAACACACAGAAGAATCAATCAAGTATTTAAAAAAATCCCTGTCAGATGTATTGATGATGTGAATAACATAAAAAAAATACTCTGATATGGAGGGATGTTGGATTTTTTTCCCACTTTCAAAATCAGCCGTTATAAATCTGGGGGGTTTTTGAAATGACTGACGGAAGACAAATTGATTTTATTTAGACTTTTCACTGTGATTTTTTGTAAAATTTTGCACAATTTCAGCTCTTCGGACCCGACAGCTCCTGTGATTTTGTAAAAGCACTAAAACAACCACCACAAACTATTATGAGTAGGAGTACTCTAGAAGTACTTCCATCAAAATGCACTGACGGTATTGGCAGTAAAAGTGATATTTGATTGTGTTCGACCTGATCAGACGGTTCATGTCTGAGCAGTTGGAGCTGATTTAACTTTCCTGAACTTTTCGCTCATCTCTGGATCTTCAAATGAAACCATCTGAGACGTCTGTTTGGTTGAACTCCTAACAGCTCCGAGACTGAAACCACACACTGGTAAGTTTGAAACATTTAAACCCTAAAAACCCGTTTGAAAGGCATGTTTAACTTTAAAACATCTCCAAAATGACTCAATTTATCAGCCAGAAACTGTGAGAATGAAACAAATCATCATATTTTCAACTTTCCGATGAGCAGATCATGTGCGACGTTCAGTTCCATCGTAGTCAAATCTCAACCTAAAATCAGGATGTTTGATCAAAATCACTTTATCCTACATGTCTCAATAAAAAAAATATCTAAAAATAAACCGTTTTATCTAAATAGATTCTGTAGAAAACAAAAAATTCTGTGCCTCCCAACATAACAGTGAAGCCGTGACTGACTCAGCTGTGACCAACAGTCAGGTGACAAAAATTCTGTGTTTTTAAGTTGAACTGCAGGCAGTGTTTCTACAGAGCAGAGAGGAAATCCAACCGACTGGATCAATAAAACAAATGCAGCGAAAATTTTAAGACTATTAAGAATGGCCAACGTACAGAAGTGTTTCAGTTGTGAAACTTTAAATCTCACGGTGCCCACAGTTACGGTGGACCTTCTCCGGCTCACAGTTAGTATTGCGGAGCTAAGAACAAGCAGGAGTTTCCAGTGGACCACAGGATGTGACGGACCGTTTATTTTACTCCTGTCGGCCCTTCCCTATAAGCCCGGTCTGTATGGCTAGCGAATGGGATGGCTAATGCTAACAACAACAACAAGCCAGAGCTGGAAGATGCTCCGGTGTCATTAAAATCACCCGTTTGGGAGCACTTCGGTTTCCTGGTGAAGTCCGAAAAAGGAGAAAAACAAGTCGACAAGACGAAAGCCGGATGTCCACATTGTGAAGCGGTCCTCAACTATGCATCCGGCACCATGTCAGATTTACACACTCATTGGAAACTGATTGTTTTATACTGGAAAAGTAATTCAGTTCTATTTACAGCAGACCAATAAGCTGGAATTGTTAATACTTCACTTGTACTTCTATTTATTTTATTTAGTTTATCTGATATTGAGAACGATGCAGCAGTATTTCTGTTACATTTGTACACATTGTTCATTTAATTTGATTCACTGAGCTGCTAACAGCTTTTTGGTTTAATACAATAAACAAATGTTTTGGATTAATTATGAGCAGGTTTATTTAAAAAAAAATTTTCCCCTTAACTGAGAACCGAACCGAACCGACCCAACTTCTGTACAGAGGTACGTACCGAACCGTGATGTTTGTGTACCGTTACACCCCTAGTGTTGGTGCAGTTGGGCTGTTTGGAAATGACACGTGAATTCACTTTTGTTGCATCGACTTTCTACGTAGAGGCCTAAATTTTCAATATATTCTTTTTAAAGTACAGTCGTGACTCGATAATCAGACCCTTAACAATCCTAAACCTTGCTATCCGACAGGCTTTTAGGAAATACGAATGGAACCCTTAAAAAAGAAGTCCTAACATACCGACAGCCTTGGATTCTGACTCCAACATGACATTTTATGTCACAAATAAGGATAGCGGCGTATTCTCTGACTGAACAATCCGACATATTTACCTACCTTTGACATTAACCGATGGGCCCGTGCACAAGCGCACCGGTCAATTAGATGTGAAATCCAGCGATTTGTAGTGTTCTAACAGTACACTAGTTATTATAACAACTATAAACAATAAATATTAACAACAAACTACCCTTTAAGCATCAAGCCCTCCTTGTATCTTGACCTCCGTCTTGACAATCCCACATTAAAAGAAGGTTTTACATTTAGTGTCGGATTATCGAGTCACGACTGTCATTATTTTTGTTGTTCAGAAGACAAAATACTCTTTTGTTCAACGTAGAACTAATGCAGTTATTGAGAGGTAATATAATTCAGATCATATAATATTCAGCTGGTGTACTGGACTATCGCTGATAATAAACAAGGAGATGACGGGTAACGGATTATTTCACATGACAGACGCTCAAAGCTAAAGGATCAGTTTTATGGGAAAAAACAGTCCAGCTGTTTAGTTTTACAGGCAACAGTCTGCACTTTGTACCAGAACCTGCAGTAAAACCAAATAGAAAAGGCATGAAAAGCAGGTACCCACTCCCTGGCATAATTACACTTCCTGTTCACCTCAAAGCATCATGGGAATTGTATTTCCAAACCTCAAGTAAGGTAAACAATAAAACCAGAAGTGTTCTCCCTCTGAGAGCTGCTGCATGTTTCCGGCGAGTCACCTTAAATAGCCGCTGGACAGTTTAGTAATTACGACAACAGCAATTAATCAGTGAAGCTGATGACAGCGGCCCGCCACCTTAAGGTCGCCGCTCTCCGCTCTCACCTGGAAATCCCTGCAGCTCGGCCTGGTCCTGGAAATCGGCCCGTCGCTTTGCTCGTCCGGAGGAGGATCCAGATGTTGGCAACTCCGTGAGCACAGCAGTCGTACGTTCAGCCTTCAGCGGTTTCCTTCTGACCGGCAGTCAGGACACTTTCACTCTGCTCCTGCTGAGAGGAAAGTCTGCAGTCGGTCGCCGCTCTGCTAATTATAGGATCCACAAATCAGATTAGACGGAGGCTGCGTGAGCTTAAACACTCACACCTTCAAACTCCAGCCTCAGTGAACCGCTCTGAGGACACAGCATCACCCTGACCTGTTCACGGAACAAGGCTGAGGACTCGAGTATTTCCTGGACAGTGATTCAGCATGGATTTGAATTCATGGTAAGTCAAGATCATGGAGATTTATGCTCAGAAAGGACCAATGACCTGGAAATTAATACACACAGGGGAAGAAAATCTGGATGTTGATGCAGAAAACTGTAAAAAACAAAAACAAAACATGGACATTAATGCATATAACTGTGAAAAACCTTAATATCATTGCACAAAAATGTCAAAAACATGGATTTGAAAGCACCGTAAGTTAATAACATGGAGACGTATGCTCAAAAAGACCAATGATGTGGAAATGNCCGTTCTGTTCTGTCCTGCAGCCGGCCTGTAGTGTTCTATTCTGTTCTGACCCACTCCGTTCTGTTCTGTCCTGCAGCCGGCCGCCGGTCCTCGGACTCCTGCGGTTTGATGTTCCGGGACGACAGCGGCAGCGACACCGACCGCGGCTTCACCGATCCGGACTTTAAGGACTCCGGAGATCGTAGGTTGGGCCTCCTCCCGGGCCCCACCTCCACGCCGGGGGCCCCTCCCCTCGGCGCCGCCCAGGGCCCGCTCAGAGCCTCAGAGTCGGACCTCACGTCTTCGTCTAAGGAGCCCTGCGGCACCACCCAGGGCCCGAACCTGACTCCCAAACCCAAACTGTGGTCTCTGGCCGAGATCGCCACGTCCTCGGACAAAACTAAAGGATGTAGTGAGTCGGCGCCGGGTGGCGGGTCGGGGCCCCAGCAGGGCCCGGCATCCACGGCCCGGACCTCGTTCCCCCACAGCCCGGCGCTGCCCCGACACCTGTACTACAGCTCCCCCTTCCTGCCCGGATACTCGGGCTACGGGCCCCTGGGACCTCTGGGCGGCTCCGGCCCACATTTAAATGGATTACAGCAGACGGTGCTGCAGCGGGCCGAGGCGGCGGTCCGAGACTGCCGGCTGCGCAGCCAGAACCAGCTGGAGCTGCACGAGCTGAAGCGCGGCATGACGAACGTGTAGCGACGCGGCACTTTTATTTATTCACGGGACCAACCGGATCCTTCTGGATATCAAACTGGGCCTCGCCGGGGCCGCGGACCTTATTTAGAACCACAGATATCCCACTGGAGACTGTTTTTCTATGTTGATAAGATGTAATCTTTGTAGTGCGTTTCTGCACAGACATGAAGTATCATTAAAAGCTAGTTTTATTAATACGGAACCGAGCGGCTGCCGTTCTTCTGTGGACGTTCCTGCCTCAGAACAAACAAACCGTCGGGTTCCACAGAACCTGCAGGTCTGAAAAAAGTCACTTTCCTCAATAATCAAAGCTCCGTTCAGCGGCTCCTCGCTAACTCAGCCTTTAAAAAGTAAAATAATCTTCCTCTGAATCAGGTTACACTCAGTCAAACTCATAATATTAAACAGATCCAACCTAATTCTAAA